GGCCCTCAGAGCAGCGGCTATGGCGGTTCCCGTTGCCAGGGTCCTCGGCGTGGTCGACGATGTCTCGCGCCATGTGACTGGGCCTTGCACCGTGGATGCCCGGCAGTTCGCCGCTGCTCATCGGGCTTTCTGTCTGAAGGTGAAGGGGGCCAACCTGCCGCTCGGCAGGAACAAGACCAAGGCGTTGGCCACCAGCAGGAAGCTGCGAGAAGCCCTCATACGCCAGCCTGGCTGGGGCATCGAGGAGGGCGACTTCTTGGACGTGCGTAGGGACCTTGGCGGCGACGCTGCGGCTGGTTCCCACCGACGGGTGACGGCCACAGCGGCTTGGGAAAAGGCCGCCCGCTGCCAAGGGGGGAAGCTCGCCAGGCTTTTCAGGCCCTCAATCAGCCGTGCGAGTGTTTTCGGAGCAGGGCCCGCGGCTAAAGCCTCTTGGGGCTCGGCGATCACGGGGGTGCCCAGCGGCCGCCTGCGGCGGCTGCGTGTCGGAGCCATCAAGGCGAGAGGTCGTTTGGCCCGTGGGGCCGCCCTGGGGCTGGCCAGCCTTGGTCAGTCAGGAGGTTGGCAGCGGGGCTCTCTGACGATCGTCACCAAGGCGGCGCTGACGGCCAACGTCGAGATAGTCTGGGCCCCCCTGCTCCCCGAGTCGCCGGCCCGGTCCTGCCTCGCCACTGACTTGAGCATCGCTAAGAGGCAGCGCCCCTGGCGTATGGTGAAGGGGCCAAGCGGCGCTCTTGTGCTCGCGCTCGAGCGGGTCGGCTGGGGTTTCATCAGCGGCGACCCCTACAGGATCCATGACGCGCTGGGCCACGATGACCAGGTGAGTCGCTACTCGCCAGCCTTCTTCGACCAACCGCCGACGAGCCATGGGCCTCGGGGAGGTGAAGCGGCACGGCTCCAGCATGTGGCACTGGGAGATCCCGCCGCTCTGGCAGCCGATTCTCGACCTGACAAGCCATCGCTCCGAGGTGTGGGACCTGCGCCACCAGAGGGCGCTGCGCGGCCTCATCCAGAACATCTACTGGCGCCAGGCCAGGGTCGGAGCGGAGGACCCCTCCGTCCCCTAGAATTGCCAGCTCTGCGGCCGCCCCCGTCGGGTCCTTCCAGGTTCGAGGCTCATGGCGGCTGGGGGCAGGAGTTCCTGGAGTCGGCCTTGCGGGGGGCGGCGGACCGAGTTGAGAGCTTGGGTTCACGGAGCTCTTTGCCAGGGGACTGTTCCCCGACATCTCGGAGTTGGTCCAGACGCCGCTTCGAACCGACGACTACTTCGCGCGCGCGACCAGCTGGCTGAGCTCCGGGCCCGTCGCCGACGGAGAGCGCGTCTTCGTCGATGGACCAGGGCTCGACCAGAACTACTCGAGCCTGAGGGCTGCTGGAGGGCCATCGTCGTTCACGATAAGAACCGCAGGCTGGTCGCCGAGGCGCGGGGCTCGGCCCCGCTGTCGGAAGGGCCCGAGCAGCCGGCCGGAGGGAGGACTACGCCGTGAAGGTCCTCACCGACACCATCGCGGGGGCTCTTCCAAGCTCTATTGCGACTGCCTCGCGACGACGGCGCGCTGCGCCGACGGCGCTGTGGCGGCGGTGGCTGCGGGCAGCCAGCGCGCCCACCCTTGGGCTGGGCGCGCTGAGAGGCCGAAGGGCGCTGAGGTCATCGAAGTCAGAGCCCACCTGGGGCCGCAAGCCGCCAGCGAAGGTTTGATCGCGTAGTTCGAGCTTCATGGCAACGCTTTCGCCGATGCGAGAGCCGCAAAAGGCGCCGCGGCGGTGCGGGCGGACAGCTGCGACATCCACCGCGTCGGGGGCCGCCACTTCGTCGCTCGCCTGGCGGCGAGGTTTGCGGCGGCGCAGGAGGTGCACGCCTCGGGATCGGGCCTTCGCGACTCCATGGGGGTCAAGGCCCTGGAGATCATCGACCTCGGCGAGTGGCCCGTGTGCCCCGAGGAGGCCTGCGAGGAGGGCGCGGCCCCGTCGGCCAGCGGGGGCTCCGCGTGCACAGGGGGGATTCGCTGCCGGGGCTTGACGGAGCGCTGCGGCCGCGGCGCGTGTGCGGGCACTCCTTGCTCGTGGCGCCCCCCCCGAGGCCTGCGAAAATTGGGCCCTTCTTTTCTGTGCTTGTTGTAGAGGTTATGTTTCTGACAGGAAAGGGCGTGGCCTCCAGGATAACGGTCCAGGTCGGCCGATCCCGAGTAGCAGGAATACTATTTAAATCGCCCAGGGCAAGCATCCCGCAAGGGGGTGCTAGAAGGCCCGGGGATCTCAAGCCTCCCTCGGCTGCCGAAATTCAGTTATGGTCCGAGCACTTTTCCGCGCTGCGCCCTGAGGCAACCCAGGTATGGCCTGCGTCGGAGGGCCCGAAGAGGCCGTCTTTTCTGGTGGTGTTCCCGCTCGTCGGGCTCTAGCTGTCCCAAGCCCAGTTCTTGGGGTCGAGGGCTCTGGGGGCCAGGACGAGGGCCTTGGCGGCCAGGCAGAGGGGCCGCGCGGCCTCCCGACCTGACGACCCGTTCGACCCCTGATCGCTGACTCCTCCCAGCTGCGGCTAGGGGGAGCTCGGGTCAGGGGTTGGTGGGGCCCGTAGGTCGGTCTAAATTTGTTTTGCATGACCTGTCAGGTCGAGTCTGGCCTCCTCCTCCTCCTCCTCCTCCTCCTCCTCCTCCTCCTCCTCCTCCATGCTCCTCCATGCTCCGTCTGCACCTCCTCCTCCTCTTCCTCGTCCTCCTCCTCCTCCTCCTCCTCCTCCTCCTCCTCTCCTCCTCGTCGTTCTCTCCTCCCTCCCCTCATCCTCCATGCTCCTCTGCTGCTGCTCCTCCTCCTCCTCAGCCTCCCCCTCTCCTTCTCCTCCGCCTCCTCCTCCCCCTCCCTCCTCCTCCTCCTCCTCCTCCATGTTTCCTCCTCCTCAGCCTCCTCCTCTTCCTCCTCCTCCTCTTCCTCCTCCTCCTCCGCCTCCTCCGCCGCCTCCTTCTCCTCCTTCATCCTCCTCCGTCTCCTCCTCTATTCTCCTCCTCTGCCCCATCCTCCGCCTCATCCTCCTCATCCTCCGCCTCCTGCCCCCTCTTCCTCCTGCTCCCCCTCCTTTTCCTCCTCATTCATCCTTTTCCTTTTCCTCCTCTTCTTCCGTCCTCCTCCTCCTTCTCTTTCATCTGTTCCTCCTCATCAGTTCCCTCCTCTTGATCATCCCTGTTTCTCCTCTTCGGTGCTGGTCCAGAGATCCTGAGCTTTGCATGTTTTGTTTATCTGTTTTCTGTTTCTCTTCGGTGGCAAGGATAGGGTACCCGCACGTCAAGCTTGTGTTTCATTGGGGTTATTAGGGATCCGTTTTGGGGAGCGTTTCTTCACTCATGCACTCAATTATTCACCCACTCACTCACCCATTCGCTCACTCCTCCTCCTCCTCCTCCTCCGAAGCTGCCATTCCCCGAAACCACCGGCCGCCCCCACGGCGGCCCCCTCAGAGTTCGTCGGTGGAAGCTTTCGCGGCGGAGGTCTTCCCCGCCTTCGCTCCTCCTCCTCCTCCTCCTCCTCCTCCTTGCCATTATTATCCTCCCTCTCATCCTCCTCCTCCTCCTCCTCCTCATCCTCATCCTCATCCTTCTCCTCCTCCTCCTCCCCCTCCTCCGCCTCTCCCTGCTGCCCCCCGAAACTCATCATCAGAAACTCACGCCTTCTCCTCGAACGTCTCTGCTGATCCTGGCCCGAGCATTGGCCTGGCCAGGAATGCAAACCTTATGTAGTCAAGGGTGGTGGTTGTCGTGGATCGGCATCGCCCCAACATGCTTATACTGAATGCGCCTCGGCCCCGCAGGGGCGCGCGCGCGTTCAGACACATTGCAGTGTAGGTTCGCTGTCGGGTGCTTTTTGGCGATGCCGCTCGGGCAACGGCATGCTCAGTGACCACACCGCCGGGGGAGCTAAGCGTGATTCGAGGTCAGCGGGCGGCTTTGGGATTCGGGTCGCTCTCCGATCCCGGGCGCCCGGCGCCCCTTACACCCCATGGAACGTAAGTTGCCCGACCGTGCGATGAGGTCTTCTGGAATTTTGAGGTCAACCAAAGGGTAGGCTGTGTCGTTGGAGCCCGCGCGCGCCCGCGGGCGAGATGGCCTGATGGAGTTCCGCTGACCCCGTCGGGTGCGGCGCCGCGGTCGACCCACACCCGCACCCACACCCACACCCACACCCACACGCACACACACACACACACACGCACACACACACACACACACACGCACACAACGCACTCACGCACACACGCACACACACACACACACACGCACACACACACACATACGCACACACGCACACACGCACTCACGCACACGCACACACACACACACACACACACACACACGCGCGCACACCCACACCCACACCCACACCACCCACACCCACACCCACACCCACACCCACACCCACACCCACACCCACACCCACACGCACATGCACACGCACACCACCACGACCACGCACACGACCGCGACTGCGTCCACGACCACGACCACGACTACGACCACGCACGCGCACACGCACACCCACGAGCACGCGCACACGCACGGTACTTTCTCCTCGTTTTGTGATACCCGACCCCGAAGCAGATTTCCAGGTCGGTTCGGGCGATCGCCGCGGCGATCGCGGCGCCCACCGAATCGGGGCAAGGTGTTCCTCAGGGAGTGGCATGCAGCATGCCGTTTCCCCCCACCGTTTTTCGATTTAGACGTGGTTCATACTTAACAACACTATAGCGAAAATGTTTTCAAATTATGTCCAACATTGGCAGTCATGCTTTTCGGGTTAGGTGTCGATTATCACTCGGCGGCTAAATCCGAACCCAGCCCTCGCCGATCAATGATTCAGGCAACTCGATGGTTGGCGGAGGAAGGACTCGGAATTTGTCGAAGACGTACCTCCCCGTGTCCCGTCGACTCAGGCAAATCGATGGTTGGGGGGGTCGGGTCCGGATGTCGCCACCTATATTACGCAATCGCTTATAGCATACAATCACGCCACCCATGTCACTCAACGTCCTGTCCCTGCTCCAGATGGCGCGTCGCCGCACCCCAGTGCGCCGGGGCCTCCCGCCAGGTTTCGCTGCCGCGCTCCTGGCTAGCCCGGCGGCATCGGGGGCTCGCGCGAGCCGACTGCCGCTTGCTGGCCGCCGCCGCCACCGTCGCTGCTTGCCGCCGCCGTCGTTCGTTGTCGTCGTCGTCGTCGCCATCTCCGCAGCCGCCGCCGCCGTTGTCGTCGTCGTCGTCGTCGTCCGTCGTTGTTGGCCGTCGTCGTCAGCATCGTCGTTGTCGTCGCCATCGCCGCCGCCGCCATGTTGCCGTCGTCGCCGTCGTCGTCGTCCGTCGTTGTTGGCCGTCGTCGTCGTCCGTCGTCATCGTCGTCGTCGTCGTCGTTCGTTGTTGTCGTCCTCGTCGTTGTCTTCGTCGTCGTTGTCTTCCATCGTTGTTGTCGTCCGTCGTCGTCCTCGTCCGTCGTCGTCGTCGTCCTCGTCGCCATCGCCGTCGCCGTCGTCGCCGTCGTCATATTCATCGTCGTCGTCCGTCGTCGTGGTCGGTCGTCGTCGTCGTTCGTTGTCGTCCTCGTCGTTGTCTTCGTCGTCGTCGTCGTCTTCCGTCGTTGTTGTCGTCCGTCGTCGTCGTCGTCGTCGTCGTCGTCGTCAAGGTCCTCCGCAGCGACCGCCGCCGCCACCGTCGTCGTCGGCGTCGGCGTCGGCGTCGGCGTCATCGTCGTTGTCTTTGTCGTTGTTGTCGTCCGTTGTCGTCGCTGTCGTCGGCGTCGTCGTCGTCCGTTGTTGTTGTCGTCCCTCGTCGTTGTCGTTGTCCGTATTTGTCGTCGTCGTTCGTCGTCGCCGTCGTCATCGTCGTCGTCGTGTCCGTCATCGTCGTTTTCCGTCTGCGGTTGTCAGGCCCATGTCAGCCTTCTTCTTGTGCCTCTCCATGAACTCCCTTGTGCGCCGCCATATCGGCTCACAAGGGCCTTTTGGTCATCTCGGCGCGCAGGCGACGGGCGCGCCCTGGCCCCCGTAAGGAGGAGCAAAACGTGCTCTCTCACAGAACGGGCCCCCAACTTGTATTTCGCGTCTCCATGTATACCATACATTTTCCCCGTACGTTCCACAGTGGCAGCAGAGCCTGTGGTTGAGATCCACGAGGGGAGTCAGGACGACCCCCCTGTCAGTCGATGCTCGGGCGACATACTATTTTCTTGTATCCCGTTGTTCCCGCTCCCTACCTTGATGCACTGGGCGCCGCCATGGATTCTCCAGGCGACGCTCAGCTTGAAACGAATGAAGTTCCAGCATACCCTTGGTTACAACAAGAGCAGGATCCTTGGGCAGGAACCAGAGGACGAGAAAACGTTTTTTGGGAAGGTGGTGACGACGTGGTCTGGTCAGATCAGGACTGGGCCCGCTGGTTCTCACAACCTTTGACGGCGACGCAACCCAATTCGCAACTACCCCCATCGCGTTGGACTGCGCGGGGCCGCGGTTCGCCCGCTGCGCCAGATTTGCAGACCTTGCCGTCCTTTGCTCCGGCCTATTCGGGAGATACCACTGCCAGATCTTCTGATCGCCTGAAGGGGGCAGTTTCTTGGACCATCAGAGGCCCCAAAGAAAATGCTGACCTCCCACTTGGCATGGAAGAGGTCCTGATACTCGTTTAGAGCCTCATGTGAAGGAAATGACTATGTGGCTCGCTACGACGACCAGAACTCTGAAAGCACAACGCGGGCACCTCATCTACTTCTATGCCGAAGACGACCTCCATATCATCATGCACTTACCGAGGGCCAGTTGTCTTCAGAGGACGGCGGGCAGGTTGTGGTCAAACATATTTAAAAAGGCTTGTGCCGAACACCAAGACCGCAGGATGCCGAAGGCTTTTGAGCAGCTTTTCTGCTCAGGCGACACCAAGCGCATGCGAGACGAACCCCTGGTCAACTGGATCGCGCGCGAGCGCGTGCTCTCCCGGGAACTCGAGAAGCGCATGATCTGCCAGAGGACTTGAATGGATGCGTGTTTCGTTAGAGAACAAACAAGCTCAGCGACGCTTCTCGGGATACGGTTGGGCACTGGACAGAGGGGCCATGCGACTTTGATTTGGCGCGTGAAAAGCATCGGAAGCTTGAGCGAGCACTGCCACCTGGCAAACGCGGCCATCGCATCCGTGGCACGAGTTCTTAATCGCCTTCTGTCGGATACCAACGGGGCGGCGATGGGCGCGAGGACCGGGGGTCTGACCGCGACGACTTCCAGTGGATTCTCATGGAACAGCCACTGTTTACCCTGCCCGGGTCCTACGAGGACGACGAGATCCTGATTGAGGCTCGCAAGCAAATTTACGACGATACCGCGTTCTTCGCAGCTGGGGACTTGCCCGAACACGCTATTCTAGGAGAAGACGAGGCTGTCACCATTTACGCCATGTGCGACAGTATTTGCACAAACGGAAGCTTGGACAAGGCTGTTTCAAAGGCCCCCCCCCCCCCCCCCCCCCCCCCTCCCAACACCCCCCAGCGCCCCAGCGCCCGCGAGGAAAGTCCGAAGGTTCCCGACAGGGAAAACGTCGAGGGAAACGAACTGGACATGTCCGACCGCGACAAGTCGCCCGGAGTGCGCCCGACGCGGGGAAATGGGGAATTGAGCTCGGGGCTGTGCGAGCGAGCCCGGCGAGCTAGGGCGCGAGCGATAAGCGGGCTTCGGCGGCTTCCAGGCAGTTTCCTTTGAAGTGGACGATGCTCCGCGCGACGTTTGTCAAAGGGAACGCGCGATCCAGTCTGGGGTCAGTTTTTCAACGTTCTATATTTGCTACTGCTGGCGCTGGAGACCAGGCTTTCATTGGACTTAAGCCTCAGATGGGCTTGGATTTTTGTGGAAGCTGGAGCTCAGCATGGAGTATGTGCGTGATATTGATCAGTTCGGGAACGCGGTGAATCTCTTGGAGATGCCTGCGGCCTGAAGTCCACGGAGATACCTACGCTGGAAATGGACTCCATGGGCGTTGGAGGATCTACATAGTTTCTCTCCAGCTGGACTTTGCTTGTTGATGTGGCGCAGAGTTGCGGTGCTCTTGCGGTGCACTTGATTGCCTGTGATGCGCCTCATGGTACCCAGTAGAGATGCCCGGACAGCTTGGCATGGTTTTCTGAGTTGCCAGGTGGCGTTATCACTTGGAAGGCGCGCGAGGCAGGGGTAGGCGAACGCGTTGCGATCGCTCCGTTCGATGTTGGACCGCGCGGAGCGCGTCCTCGCCGCGCAGGGCCCGCGGCCCAGAACATCTGAGCACCGACAGATCCAGTCGCCCCGCGATAACCCCAGAGAAGCGAGCGTGAACATGGACGCAAGCCGGTCTGAAAATGCTCTCCGTTCTGGATTGCGCGGCCACGGGGCGCCGCGCGGAGGCCCGCGCCGGGGCGAACGTTTGCAAGAACTTGCGCGGGGGCGCCAGGGGCTTGGATCAGGAGACGGCATTTTCCGCGCAACAGCCCCGCGACCCTCCACGCGCCATCGGGGCAACAACGCGACCCCGTGGCGGGCGCGCGACGACTGCCAGATGCGCTGGACGAGGCACCCGATCGACGGCTTCATCGGCGCGGTCATGCCGCGCGGCCGGGAGCGGGCGACGTCCGGCAGGTGCGCGGGCGACGTTTTCGCGGGGGCCTACAAGGGGGACTTAGGGCATTGCGAGCGGTGCACGATGGCCCACGATGCGACGCATCAAGGATTCGGGCAACCGGCAACGCACGCAGCCGAGCGCGAGATGCGCGAGGGCACCATGCGCGGGGGCGGCTTCGAGACGGTCGCAGAGGAGCACGACGTCTGATGAACTCGCGGGCAGCAGACCTTTTCAACGGGCGCAGACCGCATGTCCGAATGCATCGTGCACCCCGCGGCGTTCTCTTCAATCCGACCGACTCCGTCGGCCCCCCATCTGCAAATGACTCTGCCGCCGAGCGGATGACGGGGGCTATCTACTCAGATGGTAGTACCGAAATCGCTCAGTATACTTAGTCTGAACCGCCCTCTGCCCGCACATTGGATCAGAAATTGATGAGTCTGTTGGCAAGAATCTGCCCTCTGAATACTTGTCTCGGCCAGCTTGGGCAACTCATTTCTCCAGGTGCTACCGATGCAAGCCTGGCTGGTCCAGTATGTGGTTAACGCGTGGCTCCGCTTCGGGGTGCCCCAGGCGGCCCTTGGCAGCCCGCCGCTTCGCAGGGCTCGGTCGAAGCGGCCGAGGCGCGCAAAGAAGAATGGCGACTGTGTTGGTGGCAGGCCACCAGTGGAGCTTACACTTCGTCTTCGGAGCTCGACGAGGGCGGCGTCGCCGCGGTTCCCCATCAACAGGTCAAGCAGATCAAGTTGGCACCCTCAGTGCACAGCATTGAGCTAAGTCTTCCGTTGGAAGCAGCTCCGGACGAAAATGGGCCTGACGAGATTTCTGTTCTGATCCCAGCGCCGAACCGGATAGTGATGGCGAAGTGCGTGCCCAGCCAGACTGGGCGCGTACTGCCGACAAGCTGACCGACCTCAAAATTGGTCGCGGTAATTCACGGCGGCCTGGGAAGTGAGATTTCGCTCGACTTCTGAGACGGGGCAGTGCTAAGCCCGAGGTAGCACGCTGGGCGCGCATAAATTTTAACCTCGACGAGCGTGATGCGCACAGGGGGCTTTATGCTCGCCGCTCTGCTGCCGTTCCGAAGTCCCACCGTTTCAACCACGTTGTTGGTGCAGTGTTGTTGGTGTAGATTCGGTCGGGGCCAAGTGCTCACTCAATGATGCGCCGCATTTTCATCTTCACATCAGATGCCGGGGCTCTTCCATTCAGTTGGTTGGATATGTGGGGACTGGGGAGTCAGCTGATGTTGCGTGGCAGGCATTCGTGCGCGCAAGGGCACGAGTGTTTGGCATGCCAGGGGTCGTTGCCGTTCCATTTCCTACAGGCGCCCGCTCTCCATGGCAGAACGGCAAAACGAAGCGCGTTGGCAAATAATGGAAACGACAGCTCCGATTGGCCGTTCGTAGGGTTGTTTCGGATATTGTAGCCGAGTGGTGCGTTATGGGGGAGTTGTGTTGCTCTGTTCGGAGCCGCTGCCAGAAC